ATTACCCCAAAATAATATCAAGTAAAGGTCTGCGACCAGATATTGTTCTTCTGTCAAGAGTGAACCATAAAATCATCCTGGTTGAGTTAACAGTACCATATGAATGCCGGATGGAACAAAGCCACGTTTATAAAACTAATAAATATGAAAATCTAAAGTCAGAGCTAATAAAGGAGGGGTATAATGCAATTGTTAGAGCAGTGGAAATTGGAGCAAGGGGTTTCGTTTCAGGCACTCTGTACCAATTTCGGGGCCAAATTGGAATCAAAAGGGCGTAATAGGGCAAGAGTATAAAACCGCCTAAAAGAAGTAACAGAAAATAGTTCTATGTGGAAATGGAAAAAACGAAATACTCCGTGGAGTGTTTCAGCGAACATGACGGCATGACATGTCTGATCGTGAATGCGTAATGACGTTCACGTTGCATTCTCAGAACGCGAGGTTTGCCGTTTTTCGGAATTTTCGTAAATTTAATTTCGCCGTTACACATTTGAACTAGTTTATCTACAACACTTGTATATCGTTATAATGGGGCCTCACATCATGGGGGGGGCTGGTGTGCAACTGAAACCGAGGAAGGCCCCCGAAACGGTGCACATTCTCTCCCGATGACCTCAGTTTAAAATTCGAGAGGAACACATCAAAATTCAGTGAAGTCATATGCCGTAGTGAAGCTCGGTGGAAGTGTCATTGGCATGAGGAGCATTATACATTCAGCTTGCTTCAGGTGAGTTTCACTTACTTTCCAGTAATTTCCTTCTACATGCACACACACACAAAGTACATAAACACAAAATTTGAATGAAATTGAAATGGACATCTGTATTGCAAAGGCTAATTTTCCTGTCTAACTACCACCTCTAGATAAGAACATAAACCAAAATATGCAGCCCATTAAAGTCATGACTCCTTCTGTATTTAAACAATATATTTTCTAATTTGAAATTTGATCATCTTGCCATCAGCAAAGTGACAGATATCGAACTAATTCTAATGATTTTTATTCTATTCCTGTTCAAAAAATGTTCTCTTAAAAAGAATTTCAGTTCCTTTTACTTGGGCTACATGTAGCAAACCCAGTTACATTTCAAAGTTTAGTGCAACTAAATTTTGAACTTTCTTATTCTAAAAGTAGCCCAGTCTGTTAATCCTACTCCAAATTACAATGTTATTAAGCATCAAAGATTTAATAAAGAGAAAAAAGTAAATTGGAAATTCAAAACTTAATAATTGGGGGAGGGTCTCAATCTTACTTATTATAAAACCCAGGTTGTGTGTGTGTGTACGTTTATATATTGGATCGTATTTCCTACATTTTTCAACTGATTTCAACAAAACTTCACAGGACTACGTAAAATTACCTTGCGGTGGTTCTGACAGCACCAAAAATTGGAAAAACACAATTGTTTTTGCACAAAATCAATTTGAAAACGCGATTAAAGACATTAATGAAAGGGGGACAATTCATATCGAGTTATACTTATTATAAAACCCAGGTTGGTTGGTTGGTTGTGTGTGTGTGTTCGCTTATATATGGGATCGGATTTCCTACATTTTTCAACTGATTTCAACAAAAACTTCACTTTTTTTGGCATGTAGTGTTTCTTATTGTCTAGGACACTTTTTTTCTTTATTTTTATATTCAGAATGCTTTAAAAATTCCATTTACAAGACAATTGTTTACAATAAAATTCTATTCAATCGGTAGACTCATAATGATTGAAAACAATGTTTTTGTTTCAGTTTGGGTTTGACCAATTCGAAAAAAAAAAAAAAAAAAAAAACTAATTAAGACATGCGTGTCCATCAACCTTAAACAATAATCTTTGTCAATTTTATTTTTCAGTCTTTATGATAGTCGATACTTGATCTATCTCTTACTGTTACATCCCCGGGCTCTACTGCTAGTATTCAATAAATAAGAAGAAATCAAAAAAATCATTTAGGGTTAAAAAAAAGTGTGAAATGAATAAATGTGGTAGATTTAATAAGGTCAGGAATAGAGGAGGATCAGAAAGTTTCCTCAAAAAGGACATTTTCCTCGGCACTCAAGAACAAAGGCAATACTAATTAGCAAATATATTTTTAATTTCCTTTGCATATTGTTTAGTTGGTTAACTTGCCAAATGTTTTTTTATCAAATCATGTTGAGACACTAGAAAGTATGTTTGAAAACAAATCATTTTTGCACCAGAGAAATACAGTGTTGTATATTATCAGGAGTCACTGTCAGCTTCACGAGCCATTTACAATAATACCATCATTCTCAGAGGAATTTAAAAACATGTGTCAAGTTTTGCCTTACCCTGAAAATATTAATACAGTATATCAATTATCATAACATTTTCACTAATTTGAAGAGTTTTCTATTATTTCTCTTTTTATTTCCTCTAGTAAAAACATACAAATTCCGATATGGCAAAATAAAGTACATCTGTTAAACTCCTTTTTAATTCTATTTCTTGCGAATAAATTAAAGTGCAAGCAATTTCAGCATTTATCAGTTTTTCCAGTGATTATAAAAATATTTAAAAATAATCTTTGCATTGTCCTTTAGCTTCAGAAAAACAAAATGTTTAAGATTAAAAAAATGTATATGAAAAAACCCTAAATGTTCCATTTCATATTTTAGAATTACTTTTCCAGACATTTTCATGAATATGTAAGTTACAGAGAAAAATTTAATGACAAAAATTTCAAAAACAAAATGAGATTATATCATTAACAAGAAGATCCTTGTTTGAGATTACATGCCTCAAGTGAGATTTGAGAAGTTTATGTAATTTCTTTTACTTTATTCTAATTTCTAAGACTTTTAGAAATATTTGTAAATAAGACTGGACTACTGAAGATTCTAAAAACAGAAAAGTAATGCACATAATAATACACATTACTTTGTTTTTAGAATTTTATTCACTATATATCACTTCATTACTGAAGCAGAACAACACTGCTATAAATTTATGTTAAAAAATATCGGTATAGAGTAAGAAACTAGTTTGTTACCAAAAAAAAAAAAAATATTTGAAAATATAAAATTTTACTTGAACTTAAGAATCTGCAAAGAGTAACATTCAAATCGTGGTACTGAAGACTATTGAATGATCGATTCTCGCGGATATGTATCAAACTAAAGCTCAACCGAATCAATATTTATGGTCACGAAAATATGAATCGTTTTAATTACCTCCCCTACATTCAGTTAGAAACTTTTTATAACAATGCACATGGTTCAAAGCACAAGAAAGTTTTTTTTTTTTTGTAATGAAAAATTTTGCAAAAATAAATAAAATAAAACCAGCCATAGAAAAACATTTCCAAAATTGTTTTATTACACTGGGAAATGACAAGGGAATGTACAATTTTCTTTTTTAAATAATGAAAGTTTTTAGTTTTCCTCTTTGAGGGAGAAAATTAACACTTTTCATGTCCATCCACCTAGTGCCACCTTAAATAATACATGTCCAGACATATCTTGAGCACCACAAATATGGTACCTTTCATGTGATCAAAAAATATATTTTTCATTTCCTTCCTTCACCATCAAAGCCCACATATTTATCTATTTTGGTTAAATTAGAAACTATTATTTCCAAACAAAGGATTTAAATGAAAGAATGAATTTCTAATAGTTTTATCATTTGCTTCTAAATGTATGAATAAAATGATTTTAAGAGAATACAATGTTAAACATGAATCTATAAATATAAATAATATATCTTTTGATTTCTATGTGCATATTAATGTCATTTCATGTATCAATATAAAACAAACTGCATCTATTTTCTCCTGATCTGTTCTGGTTTTCCTATTCTATTTAGATTAAATATAATCATTACAATCCATTTTTTTTATTTCATGCTACAAAAATAGGTTTTACACTATTTCCAAAAGCATTCAAAAGAGTTTGGAGACTTAAAAAAAAATAAGAGGACCACTAAGTAAAATTATAATTAGTATACAAAATTTAATTAAAAATTAACAATACCAATCTGTAGCAATAGATGCAGTGACAAAGTTACAAGTCACAGGTTTTCTGACACCAATATCTATAAATCTAAAATTAACTCAATACCAATATATGGTATCTTAGTACAATTTTGAATGGTAGTTTATCTTATCTCAGCTTAAAAAATCTCAGCAGATAAAATTCACATCTTAATTTTTGGTAATTATGATCAACTCATAGTTTTGTAATATGAGTAATGGAACAGAAATCATATCCACCATATAACTTCCACAAATGTATTTATCACTGTACACAGAAAATACACATGCTCAGGATTATTACTACTACTACTATTATTATAGTGATTTCATCTCTTCCTTTTTTGAAAAGCTCCCACTGAAGTAGATACTAACAAACAAGTGAGAGATGTCAATTGTTTAAGGGATTCATGAGACACTGGAGTTAGGGTTTACAAGTAACTAAAATTTCCTTACTGTTATCAGAGAACAGCATGGATATAAAATAGACGGCCAACCAGGACTATATCAATATAAGCAACAAGAGAAACAGTAGATACAACATAAAAACCACATATTATCAATTAGTGACATTCAAATTTACAATCAAACCAAAATGTTTGATTTGTAGTAATAATGAGTCACCAGTTTGTTACTGTTAGTTTTATATAAAACATATTGTTTTGTTTCATATGTAATGAAGCAGAAATCCTTGCTGTTTCTCTTGGTGCACAATCATTTTTCAATAACTCTTCCCATATAAAGACTTTTTTTTTAAAGTTAAAATAATGCTTTCAAAAATAATGAAAAGACTTAGGCGGGCAAATGGTCCAAACTACCAATTAGACACTGTTCTTTGGTTTATTTAAGAATATGATGAGGTCTCCAACAAGAATTGTGTAATGGCATAAAAGTCTCTTGTTGAAAGAAAAAAAAGTAATAATAATGGACAGCTATTCATCTTTTGTAGGCAGCAGTTGGTGGGTAGGCTTGGGTGCAACAAGATGAGAGACTCAGAACTACAAGCAGAACACTCAGTATTTTTTTAATGTCTTCTTGATAAGAGCCATTCTCTGCAAAGGAAAAAAAATGGAATTAGATATTTTACAACAAAGAATGACTTTAAACAATATCATTAAATTCTTATGAACCCAATATATTTATATATAAAGAAGCATTCAGTATACAGGACAATTGACTTTATTGTTTACCTTTAAGCACTCTGTATTAAATCACAAGTATTACATCCTCTTCAACTATTCTTTGTCAAGGCTCTTCAACTGTAGTATGGCAGGTCAATTTTGGAACTGTGGTATTGCACTCAATTTGAAAGTTGAAGTTTGCCATAATAAATAATGACACAAAATATATTTTTCTAAATCATTACTGTTTTTTGAGGAAATGATTTTAAAGATTAAATTTAGGTTCAAAATTGGAGCATCGGAATTTAATTCTGGTGATCAGTGAAAGCTTTATAGCACAGCCTTATAAAATTTATAATTGAAATATATGATAAAATATAGCTTTACACTATGCTATATTTATGGGTTAAACTGGTCAATATCAGGGATAGAGCTTATGTAAATATAAAAATGGACATTGAAGTTAAGATCCAGAGGCAACAGTCTGTTTCATACTAAACGCAATCATCAGGCAATGTATGTTGTGTTTTTGCTTGACTATTTATATATACAGGTCAGTGTTGCATTGTGGGTAGTCTATTGTATTATTCTAGTAGTTATTTTGTGAGTGGTAATGGTTGTGTTTCAAATTATTCTAGCGGGGGCTATTGAGTGGGAATAACTGAAATATATGCAGTTAATTGGTTTGAAATTACAAGGGATAATAAATTCCATAATCAACAACTGTAAATCTTCAACATGATCCAGAGAATCATCCGGAATACAGAATGTTGCATTAAAAAATTTACAGCACAAAGCTTTCACCTTGCTTCCAGAAAATATTTTTTTTCTTAATGTTGAAGTGAGATGAATTGTAGGTGAGGGAACAGGACTTTGTTCATTAGATAAGTAAACATTTATTCATACTTAATTAGTTATGTCCATTTACAAGTTTAATTTTAAAATTTTGTTCAAATTACATCACAAAAATATAACCAAGTATGGAAAAACTTTCCAATAAAAATATTTTTGTCTCAGTAGTGAGCCACCAAAGAGATTTAAAAATAAAATATTCATTAACTCTGAAGTGTCACACTGGTCAAATTTGAACTTCTTACAAGATAGAGTTTGTGAACTTGTACATGCAGGTTTTTCAAATAATGAACTGCAACAGATTCTATTGAATGGAATAACATCGGAGTTCACAAATTTACCTGCATATTTGCAAGGTGTGGAAATTAAATTAACTACTGAAGCTTCATAAATTGTCCATGAACAAGCACATCATACTTATTATAAAACCCAGGTTGTGTGTGTGTGTGTGTGTGTGTGTGTCTGTAAGTTTATATATTGGATCGGATTTCCTACATTTTTCAACCGATTTCAACAAAACTTCACAAGACTACGTAAAATTACCTTGCGGTGGTTCTGACAGTGCCAAAAACTGGAAAAAACCAATTGTTTTTGCACAAAATCAATTCAAAAACACGATTAAGATGCATCGCGAGAATGAAAGGGGGACAACTCATATCGAGTTATACTTATTATAAAACCCAGGTTGTGTGTGTGTGTCTGTTCGTTTATATATGGGATCGGATTTCCTACATTTTTCAACCGATTTCAACAATACTTCACTTTTATTTTTGGCAGGTAGTGTTTCTTATTGTCTTGCACACTTTTTTTTCTTTATTTTTACATTCAGAATGCTTTAAAATTCCATTTACAAGACAATTGTTTATAATAAAATTCTATTCAATCGGTAGACTCATAACGATTGAAAAACAATGTTTTTGTTTGAGTTTGACCAATTAAGTAAAAAAAAAAAAAAAAAATATTAAAAAAAAAAACTAATTAAGACATACGTGTCCGTCAACCTTAAACAATAATCTTTGTCAATTTTATTTTTCAGTCTTTATGATGGTCGATACTTGATCTATCTCTTATTGTTACATCCCGGCAACAAACTTGGGCTCTACTACTAGTTATTACTAAATTATTGTGCGAGAATTAAGACCTTTATTTACTTCAAAGGGAAATACTGAACAATTTAGCTATATTATGATGTAATATACTATACAGTGCAGTAGTTTTAGTGTGATTTTTAATAATCAATGCAAATTTAAAACATTTTGTTTAATAATTTGTACCTAACAATATTATGGTGTTATATACACTTTTATCTATTTTTTGTGTTTATTAATTATGACCTAACAAATGGGGTAAAATCTAAATGCTAAAAAATTGGTAAAAGCTATGGATTTAATTTTTGGTTTTAGTACTTATCACATCAAACCTCAGTTTTCACACTGAGTGCAATGTTGATTTTCTAAGGAAAATGAACCTGCCCTACTGTATGCTAATTTCAATCAAGGTCATTTTCTGTTGCTATAGCAGGACATGACAACACAACTATGAAATACAAGCAGGTTTTCTTTTAAGTGTAATAAAAGAATTTCCTTTTAACAGGGAAGGAAGAAATTTTAAAACAATTGATTTTATTACAGTATAAAGATGCTTAGAATTTGTAAATTACATACACTGTTTATATTCAAACTAATGTCCTCATCTTTGTTGTTATCAAAACATTTTGATTGTTGTGCCCTCTGGTCTTCCTGGGATGTATAAGAATCTGGATAAACTACAGGGAATCCATAACCCTTTATGCAATCCATGGGGTTAGACTGTTCTCATTCCACTGCTCATGTCTAGGGATATCATCTGGTTCTTATTTTTATTTAGTACTGCCCAAACCATGAATTGAACACACAATCACTGTGTCATAAAATTAACAAACTAAGGCTTTCATCCACAAAGATGAGAACAATAGTCTGAATATAAACAGTGTAAATAATGATAACTCCTCATATCAAAAATTCAAACAGAAATAATAGTTTATAAATATGGTTGACCATTTGGCAGAGGGACATAAAAAACAGACTGAACATACTGTTTTCTGATTATCTCCTGGCTGCTTCTTTTTCCTTCATTATATGAATTTGTCCTTTCGTCCTATTTCTCTATTTTATTTATTTATTTATTTTCTTGGAGCTACATATTTAATAGCAAATGTTTTTGCTGTGAGGAAAGGTCTATGCTGTGACAAAGTTGCATTAGAAATATTGGCCTAACAACTAATGCTTATCATGTAGTCAGATGCAAAGGTGCCATTCTCTCTTCATTCTTGAACTCCTGCAATGTGATGGAGAACCAACAAAGCCTGGTGATATTGTGAAGTACTGCTGGGGTGAACTAAGTTAGTAGTGATGAGATCATAGCTCTGAAACTAATCATCAACTGATGAGGGCTTTGCTGCAGCAGTTATTGTATGAATTTATTAGTGCGTAGTGTATTATATATATATATATATATATATATATATATGAATAACCTGAAGAAGTTTGTGTTCAAGCATGAAACAGTCTGTCACTGCTTGGTGTTGACCCCTGCATCTACTTTTCTTCCAGGGTAGAGAGAAAGATTGGGCAATTGGGGACACCCTGAATTTTAGAACATGTTAACAATATTATATATAAAAAGGAAAGGAAACATAATATAATGGGTCTGTCTGATGAGTCAAAACTCATTAAATAATTGTGCAATCAACAAGACAAACACTGGGGAAGTTTATATAAAATTTTATGTAACAAAAAAAGGAGTTAACTGCAAAAACAATAGCAGGACGAAAGAATAACTATGAAAAAATATATACAGTAATTGAGAATTGATAGAGTTCAAAGCCATAAAAATGAATGGGGGTGAATCAACAAAGTTCCTCTCTTTCCTTTGTGGAATGGTGCATGCAAACTCTGGTGGGGTAATGGAATGTTTATCAATGAGGACGAGAGTGAAGCAAACAATATTTATCTCAATTCTTCACATTATTATTATTATTATAGGAATCTCTCCTTTTCTTTTTTTTTTTTTTATATATCATCTGTTCTTTTCAATTTTATTTTTATTCAATGTTTATATTCTCCTCTCATTTTGAGATCAGTCTCACTGTCTGTTTCTCTCCTTGAGTTTTTCTTTGTTTGTATTTCCATTGCATGCCCCTCGGCATATCATTGCATAATCCAAGCAAACATGTGGTTCAAATCTCCTCCTACCACATCAATATATATATATATATATATATATATATATATATTAGTACTCATTTGGAAAACCTCAGATAGCTCAACTTGCAGATATGCCAGGACAAATCAGTACCCAAGGAAAAAATTGGAAATAAAAAAGAAAGAACTAAAATCATTAGAACAAGATGAAACAAATCACCAAGTGCTTTGAGTCCTTAGTCCAAAGAAAAAAGACCCAAACAAGTAGAAATACTAAAACGTAGAGTGCTCAATACACTAAGTAGATTGATAAACTAGAATAAATCCTAAAGAGCCAGGCAATTCTAGTATATCTTATTATATATATATATATATATATATATATATATATGGTAGTTGCCAACTCATGTTCAAGTACAACCATTACTACATAGTTTTTTGGAGAATATCTACTGATGTGCTAAATGAATGTGGCTCTTTAGCCCAGCAAGGGACCTACATACTCTGGCACAAACAGGGCACTTAAGAGGTCCAACAGCAGGTGGTACATTATCATGCAATTTGAAATGTCGCATGAAACTGATTATGGACCCCCCCACCCGCATATCTTACCACAAATGTCACATTTCAGTTGTTGAATGTCTACAGTCTTATAGTCAATTGCCACCTTCTGTCAGTGTGTTCTTAAGTGACTCCTTAAACCAGCCATTGAAAAACAACTCTAACACAATCTGTTCACATTAGATCAAGCTGCCTGCAGGTGTCTTCAGGAAGTTCAATGAGGGGTGCCTTTACGCACATCTCTTTAAGCTTTGTGTGCCTCCTCTTCTCATCTTCAAAGTGACGGCTTCCACTACTAACAGCCTCATCAGATGCACATTCTCCCCAGTGTTCACAAGGAATGTTGCATTTCTTCAGTGCATCCTTTATGCAGTCCTTAAAGTGCATCTTAGGTTTGACAGCATTTCTCTTCTCTGTTCGCAGTTCACCATAAAACAATTGCTTTGGAATGCAGCTACCATCCATTCTGACAAGGTGACCTGCCTACCAAAGTTGATGTTTTAACATCAAGGACTCAAGACTATCAATGTACACACACACACACACAGGGTGTGATGGATAAATTGTCGTCTAAATTACACAAAAATGAAAATAGCACAGACATCTCATTTTAACAGATATATTTACCAAAATTACACAAAAATATCTTGAAATACTAAAGAGTAAATTTATTGAGTAAAATCGCCATTGGCTTCAACCATGGCCTCCAGAATCTTCTGCATCTCTTCTGGACAGTCTCCTTGTTTAAGTTGGTGAATGCTGCCATAATTTTTGCATTCTTTGGTGTTACAAGGTGTTTTGTTGGTTTCTCACTCAACTGAGCCCCATACATAATACTCAAGGGGGTTGCAGTCTGGGGAGTTAGGTAGCCAGATGTAAGGAGTAATGTGGTCACAGAAATTGCCTAACAGCCATGACTGGGTTCTCCTGCTAGTGTGGCATGGTGCAGAGTCCTGTTGTCAGACATCGGGTCTTCCAACAGCCACCCTCTTGACCCAGGGCAGCACTACCTCCTCAAAGAACTTGATGTAGGCTTCCGTGTTGAATCTGAGGCCCTGTTGGAAGATGAATGGAGCCATAATGTCACCATTACAAGTGATCACTCCAAACACCATTGTAATCACTGTTATACTCATCCAACTCTTTCTGAATCCTCCACACTGTCCTCAGATTGACACCCAAACACACTGAAATGTTTGCATTGGAGCTTCTGTGTGAATGCCCAGCAGTACAGCACCCAGTTTCCAAATTTCTGGTGGAATGAATTGCACCATGGTGCTATTTTTCTTCTCACAGACGGTGCCCAACTGACCCTACTATACTGTGCAGTCAACAATCAAAAACAAACAATGCATATGTGTGAAATTAAAAATATAATGTCAACAATTTACCCTTATATATATTATATATATATATATATATATATATATATATATATATATATATATATATTTTTCTTTTACCTGGCATTTTAGTTTTGTTGTTCCATATATTTTAATATCACATGCATTCTTGTGGTTTCTATGACATGACCCCTCCCAAAAATAAAAATGTTTATACTTACAAATATTACACACATTATATATATATATATATATATATATATATATATAGAGAGAGAGAGAGAGAGAGAGCCCTATCCTACTTTTAATAATTATTCCTGATAATCCTATGATTGTTTATTCTCCAAACATAAAATGTTTGGAAAGATAAGAGTTTAAAGGAAAAATAGTGTTTAACGTCACTTTGTGAAGAGTTTAAACTCATCTTCTTGTGCCATAAAAAACCTTTCCTTACCTGTTTGTGAGCATCGGTAACAACAGCTTTTTTATAAGGCCTTAAATCTTCTGAACCAAAACCTGGAATCCACATATTCCAATTTCGCTCTGAAAAGGAGGGGAAAAAAATGGTACTTAAAAACATGACTTGGTATATTGCAATTCATCTATTAGCACACAGGAAAAAATTGAAATCAGCATTGTTCAATACAGAGGTGGCGTCAATACTCACCAGAAAGGGAAACATTTATTCTGACATTCACAGCCAGAGTTACCAAGTTATTTCATTTGAAGCTTAATCTATTTCTTTTTCTTATTATTTCATAAATAGGAGAAAAAATCTAAATGCTGAATTAAAATTAAATAAAGAGCAAGACTAAGCTCCAATAGAATTAAATTGGCAACTCTTTTCAGAACTGTCAACACTTGTTTTGTAGTAGAAATACTACTTGATAGGAAAGCTACTAAAATGATTATTTTTATGCTGTTTTCAAAATTTTAGTTAACTTTTATATAAACTAATAAATTTTGTAAAAAAAATATATAAAACTCTCAGGATAATAAATCAAATTTATGAATGTTAATTTTACTTTATCCCAGATTTGCCATTAAATTTGTATAGTACATTTTAAAAAAAGACATCAACTACTCTTATATGAGGTAACTAGAGTTTAACAAATATCAATGACAATCTCAAAATTATGCCTGGTAATGGACTTTTTTTTTTTTTTACTCTTATCTCGGTAGATTTTACACAGAGAACACACAATAAGCTAATATCTATTTTCTATAATTACAACACCTTAAATGCAGACTTGGAGCTGCTGATCAAATATTTTAAGATATTATTTATGCAACTCATACAGGAATAAAAATCTGTAGAATTATTTCTTGATTTATACATTTAATTTTAAGAATAAGAAAACTTTGATGCCATTTCATAAAGATTTGATTTTAGTCAAGATCTGCAAGAAGCTTGAATGTGCCATAAAATTTCACAAATATTATACGCACCTAAATGTAATTGAACGTCCTTCACTTCAAGAACATTGGATTTTCTGTGTTTAGCAATTTGACAGGCAGCTGTAACAACATTCTCAATGAAATCATCTGCAATTTGTAGCAAAACCTGAAAGTAAAAGTAATTACTTAAGAATTTAAAATGTTATTCCTGTCTACATTGTAATGGCTTAAGAATAAAAAGATTTTTGCTGAAAGAGAAAAATACTTAATACCTGTTTGTTTATAACAGAACAAGAATAGTCACTTGACTTGAAGTACATCTTATGTTATATCGAAGTTAAATCGTTATTTTTATTGCAAATGATTAGCAGTTATCAGGTACAGAATGGTATTTACATAAATTTCACTACTGAAAAGAGTTCCAAATCACTCAATACTGTTCATTTATATTAAGACAATTAGATTTTCTTTCATTTTTAATTTTTTGAATTGTCAAAATACAATGTTTGGGCTTAAAGGAGTCATCTTGTATTATTGTGTTATTTTGTCCAGTGATGTACCAAGTGAACTAGAGTATATGGATTTCACTGCCTTATTCAGGAATTGAACTCACAACTCCTAAATTAGTTGTAGTTAGGAAGCATTTTTAAATTCACTGTTATATGGTTTTGATATTTGGTAATTACAATATATTTGAATTGTTATTTCTTGGAGAAATGACTGTTGACAGACCACAATTCAGTCAGTCAAATTAGTGAGAGCATAAGAATTATAAAAAAAAAAAAAAAAAAAAAAAAAAAAACATGACACTTTGTTCAACTATGTATATCTTAAGTTAGAATTATTAAACATTTAAACTATTATGACATAAGTGAGGATTACATGAACTTATTGTCAATTTTGGGGATTTCAAATTTGTTATAATACAGGTTGTGACATTATCAGATTAGTAACAACTTTAGTCTGAATGAAAGAAAAAAAAAAGTTAATTTAAGCAAAGTTGAATTTACATCAAAATGCATCAAAAAAGGTTTCCTTTTATTTGAAAGAGCTGATAAAAGCTTTTTTTTTATTTACCCTATTTACATTGTTCAGACTATTGTCCTCATCTTTATTGCCATATTCACATTTCGGCCGTTGTATGCTCCACTCTTCTTCAGGTGATATAAGTTTGTTTCAAACAAACCATTTATTTAGTCCACTGGGACTTATATTGTTCTAATTCCACATGCTATGCTTTGGGATATATCAATTTCAGTTAATTCCCCTTAGTGACTCAATTCTCCATGTTTTTGTTCCCTCTGCTGTGGTTAGGTATTGAACTCACAACTCTCTGGGTCAAATCACTTTTGGATCACTCTATCAATGCTTTTATCCATGGGGGACATCAGTGAGTGAATTTTGGGGACTTATAAATCTAATATCTCAGTAACCATTTTTTTTTTACCCAAGCTCATATTACAATTTTTTGTTATTGTTCTTTTTCTCTAGATCTCTGAATTACTGGTTCCCATATTGTATTCATGTCAATGCTTGCTGGCTTGGGAAATTTTTTTAGTCTAGCATTTTTTTTTAATCTGAAAATCTGGAATTAGTTATTATTAACATTATTCCACAAGATTTTGGGACAAATATACTCATCCTTTCACTAGTAATATAATACTGATAATAAAATGATTAGGATTAATTATAGATGAATCAGCACAATATCTGTGCATTCTATGAAAAAAAAAAAGTTACACCCATGCAATATATGTGTGTAGCTATCAACTGTCTATGTTCACTGTCACATGAAAATGAAATTGGGAAAAGGGAGAGAAAGAAAAGTAGGAGATAAGGAAGCTAGAGAAGAGTGAAAGAAAAGGGAGAAGGTATGGAAAGACAGACTTCTTATTGTCAGTTTTTGTAGTTGAAAACTTCTAAAAGTGACAAAATAATCTGTAGTTCATAAATCTATACACTACCCTTCACACAGTACTTTTTCTTCTATGTGCCATGTTTCTTCAGGACATTGATGATCATAGCTTTTCACAATCTCCTGCCCTTTGTAGCTCTTAATAAATTTTACCTTTTTTTTTTTTATCTCCTCTAAACCCTGTCCTGCCAGCCATTTGCTTAATCTCACTAAGTAGGTTATGCATTGTTACCCTCTTGCCTTCAATTTGTCCTGTGAGTATCAAATTTTCCAAATCCTCTTCCCTCATTATGTTAAAACTTTTTCTTTCTGATGTTAAGTATAATTGTCCTCTTTGTTCCCATTTTCCCTAAAACTTTGCTTGCATGTTCAGCCCATGACAGGAGGACTGATATTGTGTAACAGTTCAGTACTCTTTTCTTGGTAACAAAATTTTCCTATTTCTTAATACTTTGCTTAGCTTTTGGAAGAGATCTTTTACTATCCCCATGTACCTTTAGATTTCAGTATCGCAATCTACATCCTCTGTTAAAACACTTCCCAGCTATTTAAATTGTTGTACTCATTTGATTTTGGTAACTCTAATTTGTAATTTAGCTGACTCATTGCTTGAGGCATTCAGCTTATATGCAAGTCAGGAGGGCAGTGATTGGATGAGGTGGAACAACAAATTTGCATAACATTCTCTATATAAAGAGAGAAGACACAAGGACTCTTTTTTGCTGGCAGATAACACACACAACATGCTGTTACTTGTTTTGTCAAGTCAACATTTTCTTCATAACAGGTTTATCCCTCCTTTACCCCTTTAAAGTGAGTGAAACCCTTTTGTCCCCTCTTTTGAAGCATGACACACACACACACACACACACCTTAGGAAGGAAGATAAGTAGATATTATTGTGTATCAAATATATGTGTGTGTGTGTGTGTGTGTGTATGTAAACAATTTGCAAGACAAAAATGTTTAGAAACTGGTTTAATTGTTAGATCACCCACAGTAAATTTGTGTCCAGGTTCTTACAATGTTTCACTATCCTTGGTAGATCATCTTTTATCACAATGTGGAATATCTAATAAACAAAAATGAAGGAAATAAACAAAAAGAATCTAAATGAAATAGACTACATTGCAAACCCAAAACACACATATATATATATATATATATATATATATATTGCTTTTACTTAGGAAAAAAAGTCACATTACTTACCTCTTCAACATCTTCATCAAGCTGTTCAAGGGGATCTACTTCTTTGACAAGTTCTTGCAGACGACGTCTATCAAGCACCTTGCTTTCTGCAGTGGATGAATTAACAGGTGTTGGGACTTGGGTAGTAGGAATTACCGGTCGCAGACCCATTTGTGCCTGGTTTATACCTATCATCTGGTTTGTACTCACTACAGGAGTACTGTTCTCTGTTACAGTTGGAAGTTTGTTCATTTTGCAAGGACAAGCTTAAAAAAAATTTTAAAAATAAGATAAATAATAGGTAAATGAAATATGATCCCATAAATCATAGACAGAAGGATATTTTTTGATCTTCTAAACTACCCAATACCAATCCTTGCTACGACTATGGGTCTGTACAGTTTTAAATTAGGTTACATTGTCACGCTACATGTTGACTTGGTTACAAATTTAACCCTCTTAATGACATGTCTCATTTATGTGCCATGTCTCTTCAGGACATGGATGATTATGGCTCTCTACAACTTCCAGTCCAATGTAGCTGTACATTTGGCTTTTTACTATCCCTCCTTGTCCCTTCTCTACCATCCATTCATACAAACTCATTAGGTAAGTCGCTCGCTGATCCCCTATCCCCCCTTCTTCCCTCAGCATGTCTTGTGAATATTAAACTTTCCAAGTCACCTTCCTCATAATGTATTCCAGAAATTTCAGCTATCTACAGAACACATAAATGCTCTACATCTTTAGAAAAGACAATATTACAGAAATAACCAAAAACATTGTGTTTATAGGAAAGTAATTACTGAATATGATTTGAAAGAATTAAGAAAAAAGGTGATTTTAACTTAAGAGATATGTTACAAACAAGTTGTCTTGCTGATTTGAATGATGACAGAATTAATACCATTATGGTGGAATAATTCTGGACCAATAGTCAACATCTGCAGTAACTTTGAAAATTAATTCACTACGATTTGTTAAAAGCCATGTGTAAAACTTTTACTTTCATGAATGCATTTCACTATTTTGGGACAGATTAGAGACTGGTGATGAAAAATTGATATTTTGCAAGAATATAAAATGATGAAAACAATAGCTTAGTAAATAAATATAAACAGGCTAAAGCATTACTTGAAGAAAGTTTTTAAAATGTTTGGTGCGATTACATAGTAAATGTTGTAATAACAGTGGATACTGGTTATCGGTTGTTAGAGTATTTAAACACTTCCCTGAAAAAAAATAAAAAAATAAAAAAATAAGGTTGAGTTTGATCAATCACAATGGTGTAGTATTCCATTATATTAATACATGATCCCCATACAGCAAAGATTACATCTAAAAAGACTAAAGACTTCAGCTAGAAAAAAAATTCTACTCCTTCCATATTCTCAAGATCTTTCTCCATCTGATTGTCACCTATTCCAGAATTTACGGAACCATCTTAATGGATGAGTTCTTAATGTACACAAACATGCAAAAACTTACCCTTTCTAACTTTTGCACCCACTAAACCAAAAGACTTTCACAGGAATGGTATGATGACGCTTGGAAGGATATTAATGATAATGGCAGAATCTTTCTTTAGGGATAAATTCTAATTAAATTAAATATGAATTTGTGATATACTTTTCCAATTCTAAATTTAGACATTACTTATGGCTTGACTGAATTATATTTGTAACCAAAACACCAGTCATAACAATTTTTCTTATTTACAAATCCACTTGTTAGTAGATTGTACCCACAGAATTGATTATCAAAAGTAATTTTGAAACCTTCAAAGAAGATCAAACACAATAATCCACAAATCAGCAAACCTACTTTTCTTGCTGAAAAAGATCAGAGAAACCAGGTCATTTGTTTTCACCCATCTCCTATATAAAACAACTATTACACTCCCCCTCTTTTACCTACTTGATACGATTCAAAAAAAGCTTGTTAATTGTGAACAGTTTAAATTTTTTTCTTACTATATATTGCCCAGCAAAATGCTCAAGAGCCACTCAAGGTAGAGAGTCAAAATGTTAATGATGAATGACTTGCGTGGTGTGAATGAAAAAGGTGATAGGAAGTGAAATAAATTAGATAGCTAATGACTGACCCTTGACTTGAAGAGGTCAAGATTAAAGTGTTTACAGATGGAACCACATGGGAATCTGTTCCACAAAGTGGAAGATTTTTGAAAAATCTGTCCAAGTGGAACTTCCATCTTATATTTGGGACATAGATGAAATTAGGGTCACTTTCACTTCATAAAAATAGCAAATGTCCTCGCATTACTGCTATCAGATCTTAACTGATTGTAGCTAATCTGAACATTTGCCATAAGAATAGTGATATTCATAAAATGTTGCTTGGGAAAGGCTGCAGAGTTGAGAATAAGTCTTCCTCCATAAAACTGTGTAAATGATTTTAAACTCTATTAAAGCTGAAAAGTGAGGAGTGAGCAGCTCCAGTCCAGATATGGCAGCAATACTCTATTTTAGGTCTTGTAAAGTATGGTAGAAAGGGTCAGGTAGAGTGAACTATTTCTCCAGTTTCTTATACAAGTTCCATTTGAGGTCTAAAGTAAACTTGAGTCCCAATAGACATTCAAAGCATTACTTCATTACTTCATCCATCTTGGATTCGATAATATTCATTAATAAAACACAGAGAAGCATTTTATGATTTTAAATGAGAATAATAGATTCTTCCTCAACCATTGTTGGACAAATTAAATCAAAGCTAGTCACAATAGGTAAAAAAATTATAGATGTCTTAGTGGAAAAAAAAAAAAATGAAAACTACAAAGGTGTATATTATTGAAATTTAAAGATAAGAATAAAGACAACTTCCAAGTACTTCCAATATGAAAAGGATGATTAACCTTCTATATAGCACAACAATCATCATCTCTTGGTATGAGGAAATAAAATGATGTTTTGAGGCAGAAAAAAAAAATACAGTTCAGTTGAATTAACTCTCTATTCAAGATGAAGTAATTAACCATTAACACAATGCATCATTAATATTACTTTCCTTTCCACTGCATTCTTTTACAAGGCATCTCAATTGCAGTAACCTTATTGTTAATTTCCCTCAAAGTTATTTTCTGTTCCCATAGCAGGTTATGACAACACAACTATGAAATTCAAACACACTATTGTTCAGGGAACAGAGGCACCTTTAGTGGAAGGATAAACTTTTTGTACAGCAAAGTCACATACAGAGTTATAAATGTTAAAATGAAGTAAGACATCATAATAAAAGATGATAAATTCAAACAAAATACATCATTTTACAAATTAAAACCTGCAGTTGGTTGCAAATTTATCTGTATGTTAATCTCATCACCTTATCTATAAAAGATGTTTGATTTCTAGACAAAATGCATTTGGACTGACAGGTAAAGTTCTTTTTATATGGTATAGGATTTAAACACTTTCATTAGAAATTCTTTACATTTAATTTATAACTGAAAGAAAAAAAATTAGATTATTCAAAATTAAAACTCATAAAAATCCAAAATCATCCTCAGAAATTGGAAAAAAAATCATCTAGATTTTTTTTTAAAATGCAGATTCTTTCTAAGTCCCCTAAATATTAATAACAAAAACAGAAACTTATTGAGAAAAAATAGTAGATTCAACAAGTGTATAAAAATGCATCAGGTTGAATCAACTGATAAAAACAAGCATAAAATATGACCTTATTTCTATGTGATAAGAATTAGAAAAACAAAACAAAAACTGTATCAAATCAAAATAGAAAAATAACAAAAAGGAAACCAATTATATTAACAAACCCAACAAGATTAATGGCTGATATATATGGAAATTTAGTTCCAGGCCAAGAAGACATGATAGCAAAGAAAATAAGTTTAGAAAGAAAACATTAAAAGAGTTAGCATTCTTTCCCTCATGCAGAAAGGCATAAATTTATTTTTCCTCAAACTAATTCTCTAGGTAAATTGATTTCATAGTTCAACAAAGAAACTAATCAGACAGTTAAGCTACAGGACAAGGCTAATAATTAGGAATAAATTGAAACAATATGCTTTCGTAGACACACCTTCTAGAATTGTACCAAATCGATACACCAACAGCGTTGACAACACAAAATTACAGAAGAGTTAAATTACAAAGGATAAGGGAATATACTAAACTGCTATCTACTCTATTATTTGGCTCTATTGCACAAACAAATTAACATTATGAAGAACTTATGTCTATGTCTGTATCTTTTCAAAGAGATGAAGGCCTAATTTTGGAAAGTGACAGAGAAATATAAAGGATATTACTTCTAGAAGAATAAGCAGATAGTTATAAAAAGTCTCTCTCTTATAAGACAAGTTGCCTGATAAAGCAGTTAGAAAATTGTTTATTGGAGCATCCTTAAAGTTACAGAAATTTCCAAAGAAAGAAATATACATTCAGGTACCATGAACAGTAACTATTCAAGAATATTATATGATATAATTAATATTTCTGGAAACTATTCTAGCTCACATGTGAATAGTAACTAACAAACATTGCTTTTCAGCTGAAAAATTATATATTAATGGAATTTCTTGTAAAGAAAAGATTAGTTGGCAAAAGGAATAATTTGCAATCCTAAGAAGGGCACTAAATAAAAAAATTACTTTTAGGCTAAGTTGGTTGATTTTATGATGTACCAACTTTGCTGGATTACTTCAGCCAAATTTTTGAAGACCGAACCCCAGGTGGAAATGCCTAAGATTCGTCAAAATTACTGGACGAGGCATGTAGACCAAAAGAAAGCCCCACTATTAAAACAAAAATATGAATGCTAATCTAAAAGAATCATCCAACAAGAATCGAAATTCATCCTCTTAACAAATAAAACAAAGAACAAGAAAAGCTTATTTGGCAATTTCATGTAAAAACTTATGTATGGTAAGAATAATAATTATATATATATATATATATATATATATATATATATATATATATATATCTATAGCATCAATTTTCATATATACAAATTTGGATAAAAATCAACATATGGATTAAAATTCCATTCTTCTAATAATGCTTCAATTAAATCATATATAAACAACACACACAAAAAAAAAAAAAAAAAAAAAAAGAAATCCAATAAACCCTGACCAACATCACAAAAATACTATATCAGACAAACTGTAAAAGAAATGACAAGAAATTCTACAGGTATAAACTCAAACAATCCAACATTAATTAGAATTTATCAAATTTAGGAACAAACATGCTATAATGCCATAAATAAAAAAACACAACATGAA